TTTCCTCTTTATTCTGTACTTCTTGTAGACAGGGTAAACTTTGGGTCAAAGGTTTTGTAGGTGGGTTGTTATTCCCCTCCTTCCACTAGGAGGTGGTCACTTCAGTCTCCTTGTACCCACCGTTAAAAGTATCAGCTACGAATAAAGCTGCTACGAACATAGTTGAGCAAATGTCCTTGCTGTATACTGGTGCATCTTTTGGATATACGGCTAGGAGTGGTGTAGCTGGATCTTGAGGAAGCGCTATTCCTAATTGTCTGAGAAAGCACCAGACTGATTTCCAGAGTGGTTGTACAAGTTTATATTCCCACCAGCAGTGGAGGAGGGTTCCCCTTTCTCCACAACCTCTCCAGCATGTATTATCACTTGAGTTTTTCATCTTAGCCATTCTGATGGGTGTAAGGTGAAATCTCAGGGTCATTTTGATTTGTATTTCCCTGATGAGTAAGGATGTTGAACATTTCTTTAAGTGTTTCTCTGCCATTCAGTATTCTTCTATTGAGAGTTCTGTTTAGCTCTGCACCCCAGTTTTAATTGGATTACCTGATTTGTTGCTGTTTAACTTCTTGAGTTCTTTATATATTCTGAATATTAGCCCTCTGTCAGATATAGGGTTGGTGAAGATCCTTTCCCAGTCTGAGGGCTGTCGTTTTGTTTTGACAACAGTGTCTTTTGCTTTACAGAAAATTTTCAGTTTCCTGAATCCCATTTATTGATTGTTGATGTTAAAGCCTGTGCTGTTGGTGTTCTGTTCAGGAAGTTGTCTCCTATGCCAATGAGCTCAAGGCTTTTCCCCACTTTTACTTCTAACAGGTTTAGTGTGTCTGGTTTTAGATTAAGGTCTTTGATCCACTCAGACATTAGTTTTGTACAAGGTGATAAGTGTGGATCTATTTGCATCCACAATAGCCAGAATCTGGAAACAACCCAAATGTCCCTCAATTAAGGAATGGATACAGAAATTGTGATACATTTACACAATGGAATACTACTCAGCAATTCAAAACAAGGACCTTAATCAATGACATTTGCAGGCAAATGGTGGGAACTAGAAAAGATCATCCTGCATGAGCTATCCCAGAAGCAGAAAGACACACATGGTTTATACTCACTTGTAAGTCTATATTTGACATATAATATAGGATAATCATACTAAAATCTGTACACCTAAAGAAGCTAAGCAAGAAGGTGGACCGTGGATAAGATGCTCAATCTTTATTCAGAAAGGCAAATGGGATAGACCTCAGAAGAAGGTAAAAATAAAGAACAAAACAGGAGCCTAGAACAGAGGGCCTCTGTAAGACTCTGCCCAGCAGGGTATTACATCGGATGCTGAGACTCATAGCCAAACTTTGGGCAGAGTGCAGGGAATTTTATGAAAGAAGGGGGAGATAGAAAGACCTGGAAGGGTCTGGAGTTCCACAAGGAGAACAACAGAACCAAAAAATCTGGGCCTAGGGGTCTATTCTGAGACAGATAACCCAACCAAGGACCATTCATGGAGATAACCTGGACCCCCTACACAGAAGTAGCCCTTGGCAATTCAGTCTCCAAATGGGCTCCCTAAGAAGGGGAGCAGGGACTGTCTCTGACATGAACTCAGCGACCTGCTCTTTGATCACTTCCCCCTGAAGTGGGAGCAGCTTACCAGGCCACAGAGGAAGACTATGAAAGACAGTCATGATGAGACTTGATAGGCTAAGGTGGGATGGAAGGGGAGGAGGTACTCCACTATCATTGGACTGGAGAAGGGGCATGGGAGGAGATGAGGAAGGGAGGACAGGATTGGGAGGGGGTAAGGATAGGGCTACAGCTGGGATACAAAGTGACTAAACTGTAATAAATAAAAGATTATATTAAAAATGTCTCAAATAGAGTCACACCCATATCCTCCCAGGTGCTACCCTGTTGCTACCCTCTAGCTTGTCAAAGAGAAGCCCCTGTCAGTTTCTCTTCTTGTTCCCCAGCCCTCTTACCTCCCAACCCCCTACTCCCCACATCTGATCCCTACTGTTGTTTCCCTCCCCATTCCATCTCCTGCCCAGTTCCCTCCTTTCACCCACTTCTGCTGTCTATTTTATTTCCCCTTCTGAGTGACATTCGACACCCTCCTTTGGGTCCTCCTTGTCATTTAGCTTCTTCATGACTATAGATTTTAATATATTTATCCTATATTATGCCGCTAATATCCACTTATAAGTGAGTATATACCTACCATGTGTATCTTTCTAGGTCTGGGTTACCGCACTTAAGATAATCTTTTCTATTTCCATCCATTTACTTAAAAAATTCATGATTTCTTTATTTTTAATAGCTGAGTAGTATTCCATTGTGTAAAAATACCACAATTTCTGTATCCATTCTTTGGTTGAAGAACATCTAGGTTGCTCCCGGTTTCTGGCTATTACAAATAAAGCCACTATGAACTCTGGCTAAGATGCTTAATCCCCATTCAGAAAGGCAAAGAGGACGGACATAGGAGAAGAGAGAAAACAGGGAACAGGGCAGGAGCCTGCCACTGAGGTCCTCTGAAAGGCTCTACCCTGCAGGGTAAAGAGGTAGATGCTGAGACTCATCACCAAACTTTGGGCAGAGTGTAGGGAATCTTATGAAAGAAGTGAGAGATAGTAAGACCTGGAGAGGACAGGAGCTCCACAAGGACAGCAACAGATCCTAAAAGTCTGGGCTCAGGTGTCTTTTCTGAAACTGATACTCCAGCCAAGGACCACTCATGGAGATGGCCTGGAACCCCTGCACAGAGGTAGCCCATGGCAGTTCAGTGTCCAAGTGGCCTCCATAGCAAGTGGGACAGGGACTGTCTCTGACATGAACTCAGTGGCCTGCTCTTTGATCATCTCCCCCTGAGGGGGAGCAGCCTTACCAGGCCACAGAAGAAGACAATGCAGCCACTCCTGAGGAGACCTGATAGACTAGGGTCAGAGGGAAAGGGAGGAGGACCTTATCAGTGGACTGGGAGAAAGACATGGGTGGAGAAGAGGGAGGGTGGGACTGGGAGGGGAGGAGGGAGGGAGGTACAGGGGGATACAAAGTGAATAAACTGTAATTAATAAAAATAAAAATAAATAATAAAAAGAAAAGAAAAAAACAAAAATAAATAAAAAATACTTTAAGAAGGACTGGCTGTAGATCTTCTTTGAATGTCTAGTCTATTTTCTCCGTGAATCCATCTGGCTCTGGCTTTTTATTTCTATTTCAATCTTCTTTGTTATGTACCTGTTTAGATCATTGACCTCTTCTTGGTTTCATTTCGGTTTAATCTAGAAATTCAAGTGTTTCTTTTAGGTTTTCCAACTTAATAGAATTTGAGTTTTAAAAATATTCCCTTATATTCTGAATTTCTTTGGTTTCTGTTGTAAAGTTTTCCTGTTTTACTCTCATTTTGTTAATTTAGCTCATTGCCTTTTAGTTTTTTAAATTGATTTATTTTTTATTAATTGAAGTTTATTCAATTTGTATAACAACTGTAGCCCCCTCCCTCGTCCCCTCCCAATCCCGCCCTTCCTCCCTGTTCTCTACCCATGCCCTCCCCCAGTCCACTGATAGGAGAGGTCCTCCTCCTTTTCCATCTGATCCTACTCTATCAGGTCTCAGCAGGACTGGGTGCATTGTCTTTCTCTTTGGCCTGGCCAGGCTGCACCCTCGTCAGGAGGAGGTAATCAAAGAGCAGGCCACTGAGTTCATGTCAGTGACAGTCGCTGTTCCCATTACTAAGGAAACCACTTGGACACTGAGCTGCCATGGGCTACATCTGTGCAGGGGTTCTAGGTTATCTCCATGCATGGTATTTGGTTAGACTATCAATCTCAGAAGAGATACCTGTGCCCAGTTTTTTTTTTTCTCCTTGTGAAGCTCCTATCCCCTCCAGGTCTTTCCTTCTATCTACCCCTTCTTTCATAAGATTCCCTGCACTCTGCCCAAAGTTTGGCTATGAGCCTCAGCATCTGCTTTGATACCCTGATGGGTAGAGACTTTCAGAGGCCCTCAGTGGGAGGCTCCTGTCCTGTTCCCTGTCCTCTCCTGCTTCTAATTTCAATCTTTTTTTGTTTTGAATGAGGATTAAGCATCTTCCCTAAGGTCCTTTTTATTGTTTAGCTTCTTTGGGATTTTAGTATGTTAATCCTCTATTATATAGCTAGTATCCACTTATAAGTGAGTATATACCATGTGTGTCTTTCTGCTTCTGGGTGACCTCACTCACGATGATTTTTTTCTAGATCCCACCATTTGCCTGCAAAATTCATGATTTTCTTGTTTTTAATTGCTGGGTGTAGTCCATTGTATAAATTATACCACAATTTCTGTATCCATTCTTTGGTTGAGGGACATCTAGGTTGTTTCCAGTTCCTGGCTATTACGAATAAAGCTGCTAAGAACATGGTTGAGAAATGTCTTTGTTGTATGATTGAGCATCTTTCAGATATATGCCCAGGAGTGGTATCAAACTCAAGAAGTTAAACACCAAAAAACCAAGTAATCCAACTAAAAAATGTGTACAGTTGACCATATTTCGGACATATGACTAGGAGTGGTATAGCTGGATCTTGAGGTATCACTATTATTCCTAATTGTCTGAGAAAGTGCCAGATTGATTTCCAAAGTGGTTGTACAAGTCTATATTCCCACCAGCAATGGAGGAAGGTTCCTCTTTCTCCACATCCTCTCCAGCATGTGTTGTCGCTTGAGTTTTTGATCTTAGCCATTCTGATGGGTATAAGGTGAAAAGGTGAAATCTCAGGGTCATTTTGATTTGCATTTCCCTGATTACTAAGGACGATGAGAATCTTTAAGTGTTTCTCTGCCATTTGATATTCCTCTATTGAGAGTTCTGTTTAGCTCTGTACTCCATTTTTTAATTTGTATTACTTGGTTTGTTCTATAAAAGAAGTTCATTTGTACATATGAACAAGATCTGCCTTTCTATTATTTCAAGACTTCTGTGGGGTCTCTGAGCCTTTATTTTTCTCTTCTTTTCTCCACAGCAAGACGGATTCTGGATATACTCTGAATATTGTAACAACCACCTGGATGCATGCATGGAACTCTCCAAGCTGATGAAGGACAGCCGCTATCAACACTTTTTTGAGGCCTGCCGCCTCTTGCAGCAGATGATTGACATTGCCATTGATGGTTTTCTTTTGACTCCAGTACAGAAGATCTGCAAATACCCTTTACAGTTGGCTGAACTCCTCAAGTATACTGCCCAAGACCACAGGTAAGATGTTTATGGACATAGAAGTAAATATCTTTTCAATTTGGCCTTTTTTCTTCCTGAGCTATGGCGACTCCATCTGTAAAGTAAGATATGTTCCTGCCTACTGTTACAAGACCCTTGTGAATAGAGTGAGGGTATACTCTAGAAAGTTGCTAAATGTTATAAATTAGCAGGTACACAAAATCATACACATGACCATTATTATATAATATATACCCTGCTTTCATGGACTGCAGCTTACAGCTTGACTTTTAATATTAGGCTCAGCCTTACCTATCAAACCTGACATAGTTAGTGCTCAACCATTTGTCCCATTCTGTTTGAAAAACTCAGATGTCATGATAATATTTTTCCCAACTAGTACTAATCCTACTTTTTTTCAACAAAGCTAATTCCCTTGTTTGTTTACTTACCTTTTCTACCCACTTTTACCCCACCCACTGTACATTTTATATGGACTTAGAATATAGCGGAGCGAAAACAGATTGAGACTTTCCCTGAAAGTTTTTATTTCTTTAGTTTTTAATACTCCCTTCCTTTTTTCCTTCCTTCCTTCCTTCCTTCCTTCCTTCCTTCCTTCCTTCCTTCCTTCCTTCCTTCCTTCCTTCCTTTCTCTCTCTCTCTTTCTTCCTTCCCTCCCTCCCTCCCTCCCTCCCTCCCTCCCTCCCTCTTCCTCCTCCTCTTTATCTGCCTCCTTCTTCATTGAAACTGTATTTTTCTGCCCAGACTGCAACTCATTATGTAGATAGACTAAGCTGGCTGCAACAAATCATTCTGAGTGCTAGGATTAAAGGCATGTACCCTCACACTCCACAGTTCTTAAATATTTTCAAGGGAACTAACTTAACAAGGGCTATGGACACTGTCTCTTTGAGTGGAAATAATGAATTTCATCTCTTACCAATATTATATATGTTAAAAATAATCCCCACTGATAGCAGCGGTTTACAGTAAACTAGCCCCACTTTTTCACATATCTTAACCTCACAGCTTAGATACTCAGAATATTTCTAGCTTGTCTTTATTTGCTATACAATTCCTGACTTTGGACTTGTTGGTTCAACTATTAGCATTTATTTTATAATAAGCATTCTAAGAAGAAAGAAGTTCCTCAATAAGATCCTTAGCTTTCATCCTGACACATTTTAAAATAAAATATAATTACTTCATTTTCCTGCTCCATCTCCTTCCCCCTTACCCTTCTCATGTCTTTTTCCCTGCTCTCACTTGGCCCCTTCTTCTTTAACAATTGTTGGTATGGATATAAATGAATACAACCTGCTGAGTCCATTCTGTGTTGCCTAAATACATGTTTCTAGGGATGATTGCTTGATATTGGATAAAAAATTTGGAGGCTTATCCCTTCATCATCTATTTCCAATGATAAAGGCTTAATGATCACAGATTATTTGGCAATTTCTATATTAACTTCAAATATTAGACTTCTATAACTTAACTGACAGATACTTGGTCTCATGACTCTGGGAGAGTAAAAAGGTTACAACTACAAGATATTTTTAGCTTTATTGAGAGAAGGTATAAACATTGAGCTGTAATGAACCTTATTTCCTTCTTGGGTCATTCTGTCTATATCAAATGGCTGGAATCTTACTTTCAGTCTGCCTTTCATAATAGTACTCAATTAGAAATCAGGTCAGAAAAGCAGACAAAATTGTGTAGAATGATATGACTCTCAAAACATAAGTTGCCAAATGTTTCCAGAACCTGGGATGTAGGTTATATTTCCGGATGAAGAATTCTGTATGAGGCATCCTGTATTATATCTGCCACTAGAAATGTATTATTTGAAGTAAAAATACAAATAACACAGGTTAAGTGGAAAACAAAAAATATGTGTATTATTGCATTTATTTATTAAACCCCTCAATAAATTCTGCCAAGATTTTGCCCATTTTCTGGATGAAAAAAATGAATTAAGGGCTAGTGACACTTGCTAAAGTCAACACTGCTAGTTAGTAATAAAATTGGATGTGAATTCAGAGAGTCCGGCTTCAAAATCTTTGTTCTTATGCTTTATGCTACATCCATCTCCTTACTGTACCAGAGGAAAAGTAGCATTATTATTCCATGGTGACTATTGACAGAGACTCCTTAGCAATACAGATGAAAGAGATATCTAGGGCGTTTGAACTATGCCACATGTACTGCTTCTTTCTTGATCCTTGTCTGGTTTTAACAGATAAGACACAAATTGAGATGTATAAAATTAAAGAGGTCCATTTCCCCTGTGAAAGAAGTTTACAGGTAGGATATCTGTGGGGCTGGCATGGTTTCTGCATGAACATAAGTCACAAAGCCATCTCTTCCAAAACTAGGACTGGAAATGTAGTTGTTCTTTTGGTGATGTGAATTATCACCTGATAAAAAAGACTCTTATTAAGGAGGAAGAGTCGAATGGATTTACGGTTCGCATATTGCACATTGATTCATCCACATTTTACTCTTGTATCTTGACAGTGATTACAGATATGTTGCAGCTGCTTTGGCTGTCATGAGAAATGTGACTCAGCAGATCAATGAACGCAAACGACGTCTGGAGAATATTGACAAGATTGCACAATGGCAGGCCTCTGTCTTGGACTGGGAGGTAAGGCACCTTTATCAACAGAGGTGTTGGGAGGCCCCACTTGCTTGTTGAACAATTTAAAAGAAATGAGAAGGGTATATATTCAACCCAAGGCAACACTTCCTGCCAAGGAAGAGTTGTTTTGAGTATTCACTGAAGTTTGGTGAAAACCATTCTAACTTTATTTTATTTGCTTTATTGCTTTTATTTATTTATTTTACCTTACTGTGACATATTAAGAAATACAGTGTCCATCACTTAGGGTGTTGTTAGGAAACAATTGGATTGACTTAGTACTTTTCCAATGTTCTTTTTGTCCTGGATTTAAGATCACGAACTTCAAAGGTAGATAAGAAGTAGCACATGCCACTATGCTCCAAGAAACACAATGTAGGCTTGGTACTCTTGTTCGTAATCATGAAGAATGACAAGTATACTTCTTTTGCTACTGGTGATATCATCTTATCCTAGCATATCTACTAGACTAATAAAACATGCGTATTCTAGACCATAACTATCATCTTGATCAAGCTCTGTTTTTATCATCATTCTAAATGTAACCTCTGTCACTTAGTCATCCCAACACCCACAGCTTTTTTTTGAACATAAAAAGGAAATGACTGAAATCATTAAGCTTTCCTTCCCAAACACCACAAACTAGGAGTAATAACATTTCTGACTCATCTCTCAAGTCCAAGTTGTGTGACCTGATAGTCAGACATAACCAAGATAAGAAATGTCAACAGGAAGGAAGTGGCATTCTTAGACTTTGTGATGATAGAACAGAAGTAGATCCAATGCCTTGTATTGCCCTCAAATCAGATACAGTTTTCCGTGTTTAAATAATAGTATTTCTTTTAACATTTAATTTTTTTAGTCTATCCCAAGGAGCCATGATTAGTCTTAACAAAGAGTTAGTCAATGTTTAGACAAAATGCTGAGACTCATAACCAAACTTTGGGCAGAATGCAGGGAATCTTATAAAAGAAGATAGCAAGACCTGGATAGGACAGGAACTCCACAAGGAGAGCAATAGAACTAAAATATCTGGGCTCAGGGATATTTTCTGAGACTGATACTCCAACCAAGGTCCATTCATGGATATAACCTAGAACCCCTGCACAGATGTAGCCCATGGCAATTCAGTGTCCAAGTGGGTTCCATAGTAAGGGAAAGAGGGGCTGTCTCTGACATGACAGTGGCTGGGTCTTTGACCACCCCCCTGAGGGAGGAGTAGCCTTCCCAGGCCACAGAGAAGTACATTGCAGCCACTCCTGATGAAACCTGATAAGCTAAGGTCAGATGGAAGGGGAGGAGGACCTCCCCTATCACTTGACTTGGAGAGAGGCATGAGAGCGGATGAGGGAGGGAGGGTAGTATTGGGAGGGAATGAGGGAGGGGGCTACAGCTGGGATACAAAGTGAAATGTAATTAATGTAAAAAAATAAATTATAAAAAAAGAAAAAAATTCTGCTACCTCTATTCTTCCTAATGTGGATAATTTAAAAACACCATAATTATTGTCAGTTGACACATTTTTATTCTGTTTGATAGATAATGTCTTCTAAGAGAAGACTAGCAGAGGTACCAAGATAGATAAAAAGAGAGAGAGTATACATATTTACGTATATGTAAGCCCTCTTGCTTATAAGGAGAAGCCATAACTGGCCCAGATTTACTAGAAAGTAATGGATTCTACTTTCTTTTTTCTTTTGTTCATTTATTGTAGCAGAGATGGGGAGCTAGACAAATAACTTTAAGCAAACTTAACAACAGGCCCTCTGAAACTGTGTTTGACAATACTTTTTTTTGGGTCCGTTTTGCGAGCTTCCTTGTAAAGAAAGGTACCTAAAAGAAACTGAATTCCTATTCTTTAAAAGATGGTTCCCCTTCCCTGAAACATGTTTCCCCTTCTAATTTTTTAGTTGTGATCTGAGTCTCCAGACATAAGAGGGGTGAAGACTTCTCAAGTGCTGGTTCCTGAAACCATAACTCAAAGCTATAGAGCTCAATAAAGATACAGCTCTTTGGGTAGGCAGAAAGCTCCATAGCCTTGAGTTGTGGTTTCAGGAGCCAGCACTTGAGAAGTCTTTCCTTTTCTATCCCTTGCCTGGGGAAGAGCCTTGAGTGGACATGTACAGTTCATTCTTACAGTTTTTCTGGAGAGAGGTGGTGGGGGTGAAGAACAAGTGGAGAATGAAGGAGGCAGGTGATCTCAGACAGAGGGTGCCTTAGGCAAGCCTTACAAATCATCAAGCAAGTAATGCTTCCCAGTCTGGGCCTCTCCTCTGACTCTCAGATATTAAAAAAAAAAAAAAGTCCTTGTGGTGACTTTAGCTTTATTCATCAAATTGAAACACAGCATCCATAGGGGAATCCTTAAAAACCTAATCTCCCCAGCAGAGGGAAAGGCAGTATGGGTAATATGCAGGTAGTTGTTGTTGATCTGGTAAATTAGACTATTTGGCTGGACAATAGAAAATCCTGCCTTAAATTACTGTCTGTCTCTTTCTCCCTCATGTTTTTCTCACGAATATTCAGATTTCTGTGACCAACTCCAGTTACCATTTCAGTCACCAGCCATATCCTATGGAGACTACTCTACCCCTTATAACTCCCAGAAAATAAAGAGATAAGTTAAATTGCCATGTATTCCTTGAAGTGATTATAGCTTGGGACATTTTCTACTAGCAGGACAGAGGAGAGACTGTTTCCAAGGACTGTAGTTTCTGGAAATTTTCCGTTTCTAAATTCTCTGGTTCTGAGCTTTGGATGAGCTGTCATTTTACCTCCTTTCACATTAAATCATTTTGTAAGAAATGAGGAATGGAACATAGCCCTGATAGCCTTTCTTCAGCTTTTTTTTTTTCTCTGAAGATTTTCAGAAAGTGCCCATGGTTGTAACTCATGTTTGTGAGCTGGATCATGTGGTCACAATTTTCTCCTTATGGTATCCCTCTCTTTCTTGCCTGCTTATATAATACCTTACATCCTTTTCTAGTTTACTATTGGATAGTATATTCCAAAGAAACTGGAAGAAACAAACAAACAAACAAACAAACAAAAAACCATGTATGATAGATACAGAAAAGGTATCAATTTAAAAGTGAAGGTGAGTAAATAAAGTATACTCCTTGATCCAAAAGATTAAACATAGGCCCAGGTCGATTTGTCACTTCTCTGCACTTATGGACGGAAGTTGACAGAGATACCATTGAAGATTAAACTGGTTGAAAAGGATGACTTTCTTTTGCACTTCTTTCAGGACTATTTAAACTTTTTGACATTAAAACCTGACTTTCTCGTGAACAAACAAACTGAGTCTCATTCATAGCTATTCTGGGATGTATTCAGCTTAAGGGCCACAGCGTAGATATACCTGCTAGACCATTCCAGCCAGACCTTCAACATCCGAATAAATGAAGCTGAACGAAATGAGTTGCATTAGATAAAGCCTACTCCTTGAGACTATGGCTTCAAAAAATAGGAAAAGCTCTGAAGAAAGCTCTGGGTAGGATTGAATGGTCACTGCTCATTTGTTAACCATTTATTCATCCGTTAGCAGATCATTTGTTGAATTCTTACTCTGTATCAAGCTTCATTCTGTGTTCTAGAAATGTGTTAAGTGGTAAAACAAAGTTTCTATAGTTTATGTTTCAAGAAGGATGAAGAGATCAAAAACAACACATAAGCATGTTATCACGCATATGGATGGAGAATGTGGAGAAAAATAAAGTATTCTAATGGGCTAAAATAATGGAAGAATTACCAAAAGGAACAACATTTGAGAAAAGACTAAAGAAGATAAAGGAGAAAAATCATTTGGCTTCTTTTTTTGTGGGGGTGCATTTAAGGTAGAACGAAGAGCCATAACAAAGCCCCTGAAATAGAAAAATGTACATTCCAAGGGGCGGGGGAAAGGCCAGTGTGGCTAGGAGAAAAAGCAGAAGATTCAATAGGAGTAATAGAAGGTCAGGCTGTATATTCTCAAAGGACTTTGGTTCTCATTTTGGGTGGAAGAAACAGGGTGATTTTAAGCAAATATGTGACATTAGAAGACTTGCCTTTTGAATAACCTCTCTTTGTATAGCCCTTGTCAGCCATTACAGAATCTGAGATGAATCAGACATGGCCTTGTTCATCTGGAGTAGACAGAAGGGAAAATGAGAAGTTTGCATTAAATGCTGGACAAATGCAAAAAACCCAGAGGCAGTGGTAATAGATTGTACTTTGTGGGGCAAGATAAAGAGATCTATGGTGCAAGTGAGGCATAGGAGACAAGAATGGAAGCTCTAATCAGTGAGAATATCCTTTCCCTTATGTAAACTTAGCATATTCCTCACACAAACAGATCTGATGCTTTCAAGCAGCCATGTGGAGTGGATCAAACAGGAACTGCTTAAACTTCTTTCCAGGGACACAGAGTGAGTTGGTAACATCACTGGACACAAAACACAGTTATTTTACCAGTCTCATCTCACTACTTTTACATTGCAGCTAATTTTTCTGCTAGGCAATGTATCATCATTCAAATGTAATCTTGTAGTTAGACCCATGGGATTGTTAACTTTGATCTGCCTCTTTGGATAAATTGTTTCCAGTTTCTCTGATTTATGATTTTTGAACAGTTACAGCTCATCCTTTATCAGTTTAGTGAACTATGTATTAGCACCTGGGGCACACAGTAGTACCCAAGATGAATAGTACATATGGAAAGTTTACAATGTGATATGTGTATTCCTAAATATTTATATATGTTTATTTAAGCATTCGCCACAACATCTATACAAAGTTGTAATGTTATATTCTCAAAAACAATGAAGAAACTGAGACACAATGAGGATATGTTAGCTGTACAAGGTTACTTAGGTTGTACCTATAATCCTGGTACTCAGGAAGCCTCGGGAGGAAAAATGCAATTTCAAGGTCAGCCTGATATATATAGCAAGTTCCAGGCTTGCCTTGGCTACATAGAGAAACCTTACCTCAAAAGTAGTCATGTTTGTCATCAGTTTTTGTTATTAATCAATTTTTATATATTCTTTGACTTTATACACATTCAAAGTGGACTGTGGCACGTATCCCTCTTGTATCAGAAAAAGGGCAGCTCTGAGGAGAGGTCTGCCCCAGCCCTATGCATCCAAAGGCACAGTGCTAGTATGTCAACTCAAGAAGGACTGTTTACCTTTGTCTTGGGTACTCTTATATCTAAATTTGGATCCTAGAGTCAAAACAGTATTTCTTGAGCTGCTTTCAAGTTCTGTTATTAGAAAATAATCCACTGAGATCTCCTTTTCTTTCCAATCCCTCGAGTAGAGGAAATGGTACAATTAAAAATAGCATTTCCTGATGTCACTCTTTTTAGTATATTATTCTACCAGAGCTACATGCTTGTGATTATTTCTGAAGAAATATAGGATTTCTACATTTAATCTAACCTTGGGTATAAACCTAACATTTTACTGTAAAGGTATCAGAGCTGGTGCTATACATAGTTGTTTTTTTTTTTTTTCCTTATACCTCATTTAACAGCTGGTAAAAACATACTGAGGGAGAGGAAGGCACTTTTGAGTCTAGAAGCACTATAATTTATTAAATTATAATTTATTAAAGAGTAAAGGTGCTCTCTGGAGATAGATTAGGATGAAGTTGTCCATCTGTAGCTACTAAGCTTCATGATCCTGTCCTATCACGTGACCTCTTGGTACTTGAAGATGTAAATTGGAGCAAGATTATTTACCTGCCAGAACGTTTGTGACATCCAGAAGACTAGAGTGAAACGTGCCTAACCCAATATTTGACCCATATATGTCCCCTGGAATGATGAGTTTCTTTTCCTGGGACTCTGCCTATTACTCCATCTTCACATAGGCTGAAGCATGTGTAGTAAAGTTTCTAATTTTATCATAAAATATTTTATCCCCTATTTCATTTTGATATGGAAAACAGAAAATTTTCTATCACCTTTTCAGGCTTACTCTTAAAGTGATAGACCAGGTAGGAATTGAGAGACTTGAGCAGAAAAGAGATTCATAAAAGATAACAAGAAGGAGATAAAAAGAATGCCTGCCTGCCTGCATGTCTGAATTATGGGTCTCCCTTAGGCTCAGAGTAAATAAGAATACTGGAGGAATGGAAGGAGATAGAGAGAATAAGGAAGACTGACTGGTTAAAGGATATTCTTATTTAACCCCAGAGTAAATAAGAATCCGAGTCTTCTTACTTCCAGAATTGTAAACCTTTTAAGGGAACCCAGAAGTCTGTCTTTCCCTCCATCTCTGCAATCTCTTTGGCTACCTCCTACCCAAATCTATGCTCACCTTTCTGTATTTCTGTGTAAGGAACTGTACCAGCTCTACTACCTAGCTACCTCTCACTGTCACATGTCCTTCCTAGGGAGAGGACATCTTAGACAGGAGCTCGGAGCTGATCTACACTGGAGAGATGGCCTGGATCTACCAGCCCTATGGCCGTAACCAGCAGAGAGTCTTCTTCCTGTTTGACCACCAGATGGTCCTCTGTAAGAAGGTAAACTTAACCTTTTCTTTTCTGAGAGAGGTAAGGTCTTCAGGGAGTACTACAAGCTCCTACCCTTTCATTATTCCCAGGTTTTTAGAAGTGCCAGAGGAAATTGGCAGCAGTTCCATACCAGCAGCACTGGAATAGAATGAATTTCATAAGCAACAGTGAAATGCTGAAGTTAACACATTTTATCCTTGTATCTTTTATGTTTTCCCTGATAATCCCTGTGGTATCCTTTCTGAGCAACTTGCACCCACAGCAGATAGCCAGCAAATTTGTACCCGTGTTGAAGAATATTGTGTTATTTGTATCCTGCGTAACTATGAATAGCTTCCTAGGGTACTTTTCTCCATTCCCACTTCAGTGGGGACACCTCTCTACTTCCTACCCAAGGAACAAAAGAGACTACCAACAAGGGGGACTACTTATTCAAACAAGTAGGTACCTTTATGCTACAAGATCTTCATACTCTATGCAAAGTATATTATCAGTCCCCCCACCCCTTGGCTACCTCTATGAATGTTGGTTTCTTATCTACTTCTTTTGTCAAAGAAGGCTAGCATATGCTCCCAACATAATCTCTCCTGTGAGATCCTAATGGGATTCTTTCATGATAGGTGGCTCAAACCAGTGTTATAAGTAAGACTTGCCAGGGAAGAATTTTGAATCAAGGGGGAAAAAAAATGGCAGAGAAATCAGAGTGCTCAGACTGACTTTGTTCTCATTCTTGGCTTTTTCTCTGCTACATAGCTACGTTGCTATCTTTGTTACCCATTAGCAAATGCCCTTGAAGATGGGTGCTAGGTCATGACATGCCAAGTTAAACACTAAGCACATATCTGTTTTATGCCCCTTGCTCTCCCTGTATGTGCATGTGTATGGTGTGTCCTACATTAAATCTTTATGCACTTGCCTTTCACAATTAGAGAGTAAATTGAGCTTAGATTCAAACTGCATTGGTGTTTACAGATAAGTTCTAAAGGCCAGATCTGGAATCAATAACCTGATAGTTAATTAGGGTAGTTATTTGAATCTGGATCTGATCCTGGAAAAGAAAACTTGTGAATTGGAGACTCAGCAAAACATCACTGTTTCTTTTTAGCTTCCCCAGCTCTTACCAGAACTTTCATATAATCAGGAGGCAGAATTTCTGAAGATTAGTAAAGACAGCAAGGAAGTTCTCAGCTTATCAGCCATGTCACCAACAGGCATTTGTTCTTTCTTCATGCTAATGTATGTTCATGCTTAGAACAATTAGTCAGGCAGAGGAAGAGAGGTAAATGGAAAAGGAGAAGGAGAGACAAGGAGAGGTAAAAATGGAAGAAGAAGGAGAGGGGGTGGAAGAGAAGGAGGAGGATTATTTCAGGGTTCCACACTACCTGCCCAAACTTCTTGATTTTGACATCTGTCCCCAAAGCACACAGTTGCTTTACGTAAAATGTGAAACTGAGTTCTGAAAAGCAGTAGCTATAGGAGGCAGTGTTAGGAGCCCAGATACAAAAAAGTGAAGCAGAGCCTAGAAATAAAGGAAAATTTAAAAAGCTGGAACTGTAAGCTCTAATTAGGAGCAAAGGGCCAGCAAAGAACCAAGATGGTTCTCTTAAGACAAGTAGTGAAAAAAACAATGATTAGGAAGATGCCAGAAGTTAAGGGAGTGCTCTAGGTTCAGAGCAGTCAAGTTGAGAGCATGGGAAAAGCAAGCAACAGAATGGCAAAGATAACAGAGAGCTTGATGAAGGTATAGCTTCTCTTGTGAGAGTTTTCTTGTTTTAATGAGGTCATAGGCTTTCTCTCCAGAACAGAGTCAGCCTGGAGTTCAAGGCTGTTAACTCCACGTACTTGAATATTCTGCATACTGGCTTCCCAGAGTTGAAAAACTACAGCCTTGTTATGTAAAGGCTAGTAAAAATGTCTGATTTTTATTGAGTTCATGGTTCAGCCATATTATCTATAATAAGCCTTTCTATTTATCATATAGGAGGTAAACTAAAAAAAAATGGTAATGGAGTGTAAAGAAGGTATGCAAAGGAACAAGGTAATTTTTCTGCCAAATTGTTACCATTACTGAAAAACAAAACAAAACAAAAACAAAAAACATGGGAATGGTCAGGAGAACACAGCTTCCTCCAGTTGAAGATGAACCTTGAAAAAGGAATAAGTGGGAAAAAGCAAGAGTAGACTGAAGTGAGTAAAGGCTCAGCTCACTCATCTTACTCACCTCTGGAACACAATTTAAATGGTTCCCCAAAATCTCAGTTCATTTTTTTTTTCATAAAGAAAGAATGGGCTACTCACTGCACATGGCAAGCAGGAGAGCTGGCCTGGGCAGTTTGGGAGAGCTGGCCCTGCCTCTCACTGGCTGCAGCAATTGGGAGAACAGGCCATGCAGCTCACCTTGACAGTTCAGTAGAGCTTGTCCTGGTGGTGTGAGCATGGGAGAGCCAGTCCAAATATGTCAGACTAGAAGAGCTGGTCCCATGCCTAGCTGGGGCAGAGCTGGTGAGATAGCCCTGGAGCCATTGCTGTGGAAGAGCTGACCCCTATGGAGTGAGCACAGGAGAGCCAGTCCCTCCTCTTGCCAGCTGCCACAAGCAGGAGGGCTGACCCTGCTCCTCACCTGGGCAAAGCAGGACAGCTGGTGGGCTGAACAACACAGCCAGCATCCAGGTTCAGATCCAAGGCCTTTAGTTGGCCTACCCCATCTGTGAACTGCTAGAGTGCATGAAGGGGCCAGTCCTGCAGAATCAAAGCTGCAGGATATCATCAATACAGGGAAACAACAGAAGAGGAGTTTCATTGGAGATGCAGTATAATAAAAGCCAGAAGCCTTGAACCAGACTAATGACTTATTGCAATGAACATTTACAAGTAAAGCTATTTAGGCAAAAGGGTGTACTGTGTGATACATGGTGACACACTACAGTTTCTACAACAAGATTTTTGTGTGTTATTTTTTCTTATTTTTATTTTTTATTTGTCTATGGGGGGTTTCAATGGTGCAGGGCAGATATGGAAGGATGTTGAGATGAGTGGGAGTGGGACAAAAGTGTATGACATGAAACTCACAAAGTATAAAGATTTTTAAAAAGAAAAAGGAAGAAAGAATGGGCTAATAAACAATAATTGAATATGACTACATTAATCTTTCTGTTAAGCCCATATTTAAAAAGGGCCCTTCACAAATGTAACATTTAATAAGACTAGTACAATATTTTCATAAATCCTGAAAGGTTAGTTTAAAATCTTCAAGACATTATTAAGGATTTCTAAATACATGAATACTGTTGAAAATAAAGGAATAAGTCCTCCTCCCCTTCCATCTGACCCTAGCCTATCAGGTCTCATCAGGACTGGCTGCATTGTCTTCCTCCGTGGCCTGGTAAGGCTGCTACCCCCTCAGGGAGAGGTGATCAAAGAGCTAGCCACTGAGTTTGTATCAGAGACAGCCCCTGTTCCCCTTACTAGGGAACCCACTTGGACACTGAGCTGCCACGGGCTACATCTGAGCAGGGGTTCTAGTTATATCCATAATTGGTCCTTGGTTGGAGTATCAGTCTCAGAAAAAAACCCTGTGCCCAGATTTCTTGGTTCTGTGGTTCTCCTTGTGGAGCTCATGTCCTCACCAGGTCTTTCTATCTCCCCCTTCTTTCATAAGATTCCATGCACTCTGCCCAAAGTTTGGTTATGAGTCTGAGCATCTGCTTTGATACACTGCTGGGTAAAGTCTTTCAGAGGCCCTCTGTGGCAGGCTCCTGGAGACGAGGGAGGCAGGGAGGGGGCTACAGTTGGAATAAAAAGTGACTAAACTTTAATTAATATAAAAAATTAAAGAAAATAAAGGAATAAAAAAATAAGTGTTTCTCTGACAAGCCCTGATATGAGACAGAAGGTCTAATGGTAACAGAGGAACATAATGTCCTTTACCAAGAGGAATTGAAACCCAAAGGATCTGAGGTTGTAATAAATTATCTCACTGATCTGAATTTTCATTTTAAGAGCATACTCCATGACATTCACATCTGCCTTAATGGGACCTGTAATATAATAAAATTTAAGTGTAACATAATGGAAAAATATATACTTTTATTTACTGAAATAACCCTTAGATGTCTCTAGTGGAATTGCTTTATGTAATCTTGGCAATATTGTTACTCCTAATGAAGTCTGTGACAAAACTATAGATAGGAAAATATACCAGCTTTCAAAAACAGAAAACTATATTGTGAGAAATATAAGGAATATAAAGCATTGTTGATTATTAATATTTGTCTTTGATTTATCTTTTAGTTAAACAGTGGTTATTCCTAAACCATCTGTATATCTAACTTACCACACAGAGACTAGGATGTATTTAATTAAGCTAGAGCACAATGCTGGACAACAGTTACTCCATTCTAAACCTCCACGCCTGCATAGTTTCCTACCATTCAGATTTTACCCATTATACTAGCTTTTAGTCATATCTTAGGTCCGTTCATCTCTCTTCATGGTTCAAAGTCTTCTCCTGCTGATCTCTGCTCTCCTACCCTTCCCAAACACTTCCTTCTCCTCCCGTCTGGACCAGGATGTCCCACCCTATTGTCTCCATTGCACAGCACTGGCTGGTTGTTTTATTGACAGTACAGAGAACAAATGGTGGCATGTTTACACAAACTTGAGACAGGTGATGCTTATGCATCACAATACAATGTCTGGACTGAAACCAGATAGTGGGGTAGAGAAATCAGCATTGGAATGAACAAGGGTAAATTGTATATATTCCACAAGAAAGTTATACCAACACTAAAGTAATGATGAATTGGCATTATTTGAATGGATCTGTGTTTCTGTGTTCAAATTTTCATATTCATTATGTTAATTCAATATTCACCACAAATTCACCAGAGAAAATACTGTGATTATTCTTATTTTAATGATATATGAAGTTGAAATACAGAACACTTATTTAATTTTCCCAAGGCAATACATAGTTGATAAATGATGGAGCTAGGAATTAACCTTCAGGT